CAGAAGACTCCTAAGACTGACATACTTTTAAAGAAACAAATATCTTAAAATAGGTTTATGATCTTTCTTATAGAAGTATGTTCTTAAGTGGTTCCAAAATGGAAATGACTTTACAATATCACTGCATGTTCCTCATTTGTACCAAACCCTTTCAATCAAAGAGCCACTGAATTCAATGAGTCGCACTGTTAGTACATCACTGTAGTTAACAAGTATTGCTCACTACAGGGAGCCAAGCAAAGGCTATTGACATGCTTGCTTGATGTATGAAAAGACAAATTAGTCCCCCATCCTACCTACCAGCAGGGTACAATGACCTGACATGGAAAAGTCAACCCAGACCACTGTATAATATATTTACATTTTTTTCTACGAAACTTCAGTTATCAAATCAACTGTGCCTATTGTACAAGTCACAGTCAAGCTAACAGATCATGAAATAAATTTGAAGGCTGTGTACTTTAGCTGTGCTATAGGCAGTACCACACGGCCCTTGTAGCTGTGGTTTGTCCTGCAGAAATCTATAGTAGCACTAGGTGGGGAAAGCTAGGAAGAAAGGCTTAGATAAAATACTGTTTCTGGATGTGACTGTTTTTCACTTGTTGCCTATCTGCTGCTCCTGATGCATTCTCAGCTCTTTTGTAACACACTAAGCAACATGAGAGAGCCAGTTCTCTGTTAGTGTCGTTCATTTGGAGTAAAGTTAAATCTGGTAGGTAAGACTGGCAATACTCTTACATCGTTCTCCTTTTTGTTCTGGAGAAACCATTCCAAAAATCAAAGGTCTATTTCTTGATTGTAATAAACAGAACTTAAAAACTATCATATATAGAGATTGAGTGTACTATGAAATTAAGAAATATTCTCTTTTGCCTTGAATGCAATTTGTACTAATCAGAATGTGCTATTGGGGCAGGGGGGCTAGACTTTTCTATTATGGAAAGCACCATGAAGGATTAAAGATAGGACCAATAATTAATATCAAATTAAATTTCTAAATTTCTACTGTTGGTGACTTGAAGAGATAGTTAAAAATAATTTTATAGGACTGTTTTGTAATTCAAATTAATATATTATGGTGCTACATTGTAATTCATCTCATAAAGCAAATCTATAACAATAATGTCATCAGTAATATTTAAAAACCTACTTAAACTTGTCCACATCAATGATAAAGCAAATTTTTTTCAGATCTAAATACTCATCCTGTAACATTCGTTATAGGCCTTCCATATACAAGGCAAATAATCAGTGGGCAAGTTTTGGAAAAGCTAATAACAGGATTTGGAGGTACCTAATTAACACTGGCTTGGGGTTCTATTTATTTGTTTATTTTCTTTCTTGAAAGAAGAAGTAAAGTTTGCTCAGCAAGTAAAAGACTACTTTCTGTAGTCTATTTTATTGGCCTAGAATTTAGTGGCAGGAAACATAAATTTGATGTGCCTTACCTAGTCAACCTTCATCAGAGTGGAAGAAAGAAAGAAAACAGACAAGTGTTAATGACAAATGTGGGCGTCTACAAGTTAGCCATGTGGACTTATAGGCTTCCTACTACCACTTAAACAGCTGAGTAAACTTTTAAAAGCATTTTAACTTCTTAGAATTGTGACATTTTCACCAATTAAATAAGGAATATTAATAGACGATTTCTAAATTTTCATCCAGCTCTAAAATTTAATGTGAAAGCAGTATGTGAAATGTTGACATTGTTAGTTAAATGTACAGTGTGGTGATGACAGTGATGATGATTTCAGGTAGACTTTCGTCTGCCCCACATCTAATTTGGTTTATAATATTTCCTTTGTCACCTTCCAAGAATCCAATGGCAAAGCATCTTTGGCCCCAGAGGACTAGCAGACCACCTGCCTCAGCTTCCTGGCTTGCTGTTCTCTCCAGTGTTAAGAATGAGGCTGAAGTGTAAAGGAGCTCAGAACTTCCTGATCAGCCTCTGTGGCGGCAAATGCTCCCACCTTAGAGGGAACAGGATGAGATGGCTGACTTTGGGCCAAATTCTACCTCCTCCACTGACCTTTTCCAAAATTTTGGTTCTTCTTTAAAATAAGGATGAACATACCAGTTCAAGCGATCAGGATTCATCAAAGCAAAGCCTAGAAAGTACCTGCCCACAGTAGATAGCTGCTAATAGTGTTGTTATATTTGAGGCTTAGCACTCATATCAGCCCTGTACCTCAGGCGATATCTGAAATGGACGACAAATACCCAGAATTGTGTGAGAATGTACATTTCTCTGTCATCCAGTCTTAGCCAATAAACAGCAACAAGAGCAAACATTTTAGAGCACTTATTTCTCATAAGTTGATTTCCTCTGTACAATTTCAGTGAATTTTCAAAATTAGGCTGTGAGCAGGTGAATCGAGTCTTGTTTCTATCCCAGTTCTTAGGGCCCAGGCCTTTACATCATTGCCAAGGAAGGGTGCTTCAGGGGAAGGCCATGAATATGCACACAATGCAAGTGGCACCCAAAAGTCCTACGGAGCTGCAATTTCTAAATAGATAAATAGTCAAAGAAAAAAGTACATATGTAAAAAGTGTGCCACTTAGGAAAAAGTATCTGAAAAATAATAAGTTTTAAGTACCAGCTGCTAGTATTAACATAACAACTGCAGCAAAAAGTACAGCAATGGCACCAGCTTCAGAATAGGGAACTAAAGCCCAGGGAGGTAAAGATTCTGATTTGAAAGATGGACTATGACTCCAAGGACTTTGTGCTTTCCTTTCCACTCTACCATGTCACCTTATAGACATGGAGACTGTAACAGTGTTGCATTCTCAATGCCAGCCTCTCTGTCAGTATTTGGCTTTGAGGTAGTGTGGCGGGAATTCCATGAGCACACTGCGAGGGAAAGTCCTCACCGCGCTATAATACAATATGACACATTGTGACTTGGTCTACTTGTGCCACCCTCCGGACTTTATTTTCAGGAAAGAAAATGCTTTACCTCCAAGCACATCAGATTGTCAAAATAGTAGCTTATTCCTCTTCACAGTGAGACTGGTTTACATGAACATTCAATAACCAGAACCCTTAAAAAAAACCTATTTTATCTCCCACTTATGTTGTCTTCTTATCACAATCTGGGATCTGTGCTAAAGGGCCCATTGAAGTAGCAAAAAAAAAAACATTAGAGTTGGAGAAAAGTGACAAAAAATATTTATTAAAGTGCTGCAATTGGAGTCTACGTAAAATGAGCGGCTTCCTCGTATTCACTAATCCCCAAACAAAATAACCATCAAGAAATATTAAAACACACATTTTATTAGTTTCATTTACTTTCTTAATTGCTGAAAGTCAGTTTACCCATTTATTGCTGTGTGAAGTGCTTAGAGGCAAGGCGCACATTAAAGGGATTATTTCCATGTAATCCCCCCCTCCCAGAGGGTAGGAGCTGATCACTATGAATCCCGATGTACTCTGCAATAATACCAAGTGCAGGAAATAGGTATTGTAAAATGATATAGTCAGGAGTCAGGGAATACAGTAGAAGAATGTAATTTAATAGCAAGAGAAAGTACCTCATTTTCAGTAAAAGTTATGTGAGCTTTTTTCAGGAATAGCTATTAACCAAACTGAATTTAGCCTCTTCTTTTTCTGGCTGTACCTCTGCTAATTGATAGATGTTGAAGATGTGTAGCCTGTTAAGATTTTAATCAAATGGTGTCTGGGAGTAGATGTGATCATCTTACCGGGACTTGGAGTTCTGAGGAGAATAATTGCTCTGAGTATTTCGCTCTCTGTGACAGCTCGCCCACAGCCAGACTTCCTCCTTAGCAGGAGAGAGAGCACAGGCACCCAGGCTGAATTTGGAGGGATGCTGAGTAGTACAAAGGAAAGGAGAAAGAGATAGCAAGGGGATAGGTAAATAGTGACCAAGACAGTTGTGACACTGTGATGTTCTGGTAGCTTCCGTGGCCCATCATAGCTGACCAGAGATCATTTGGCTTCAGAAGATTAGGAAACTCATTAGTGATCCAGGGAAAAGCTTTTCCTTGTCCTATTGCTAATGCACCTCTCTCTGTTGTAATACCTGTAACCCAAGTACATTATGTTAGAAGCATTAGTGCTATTCTTAGAAGGAGATAAAAGAACATTAGAATAGTACAGAGGTAATGCCTGTCCTTGCCAGCAACTTCTGCCCCTGAGACAGCTTGTGACCAAAACGCAGGGGTCAGGTCTGCCAGCCCAGAAACAGGCCGGGCTTCAGTTCTGATAACTCATGTGTATTCTCCACACTCAGAATCTGCCTCATTCACAGAGTACACAAAATAAAACAGTTTTAAAAGCCCTCAAGGAGATTTGTACCATGTATTTTATTAGATTGAAGGCAAAACAAGCTGATACCAGCAGAAAAAAATGGCTGCTTCAGACCCCAGCTGACCTCTTTTGCATGGAAAATTCTCCATACGATTACAGAGCTAATGAGTAATATTTAATGAAAACATTATGCCTTTGCATATATTTGTAAGCAGCAGTTCTTACATTTAAATTTACATAGAAATAGAGGATATGTATAAAAACACATGTTGGAGATCTCTGTATTTTAAGGAAAATACTCATCTGCTGTCTCTGGCTGTTTGCATAGCTGTTTTTATGCAAAGCCCAAACTTTTCAGTAAGAAACTGTAGAATTCAGTCAATCATCCATTTGACATCAAACGTACAAGTATTTGATGATGCATGGATAAAACAGCTGAATACAAGGCAGACTCATCCACATTTCACAGAATGTTTTGGCTTTATGCAAACAACAGTGTATGAAGAAAAAAATGGGTAAGCAATTGCTAAATAAATATGTTTTTTTTAAAAAAATCTCTCTCTTTCAAGAATCCTGAAGCATTTGAAGATGAAGACTTAGAACCAGGATTGCTTCTGGGTCCTGAGTGTTTCCTTTTCTGCTCAGAATGTGAATCACACTGGTTCTGAATGTGAACATGGAAACGCTTGTGACACCTGTCTCTCCTGCCCTTCTCTTCCCTCTCCAGGTAGAGCTGACAGGCAGCAGTGTTTTTGACTATGTCCACCCTGGGGACCACGTGGAAATGGCAGAGCAGCTGGGCATGAAGCTCCCGCCTGGGCGGGGTCTCCTCTCGCAGGGCACCGCAGAGGATGGAGCCAGCTCAGCGTCTTCTTCCTCTCAGTCGGAGACCCCTGAGCCAGGTGGGAATTGGTACCCACCGTGAGGGTTGGTGGGCAGGACCTTTGCCTTCGAGTGTGCTCAAGGTACCCGTGTGTGAGAGACTATAAATAGGTGTAGGAGGGTTATTTAACAATTCCAAGCAGCTTTCAGTCCCATGCAGTAATTAAATAAGGAAGAGATTTGAAAATAAGGAGACATTTTAATGAGTATAATCCAGAGATCTAATTTCAGCCAAACAGTACATATATAAGGTACGAGTTCCTTTAGTTTCTCTTTGAAATTGCTGGAGGAAATGCTTCTGGCTCAGAACACTTTCTTCCTCTTATTGTTACCACAGCTAAATGCAATCAATGCATTTATTTATTGTTTGGCAAAATCTGTGGTAGAAGCATGTCAAATATTATCTGGTAGAGAATTAAAAGTATTAGGGATTTGCAGAAATCTTGGCTTCTTTTTTTTTTTTCTTTTTCTTTAAGCATCAGAAGGTACTTGAAAGATGTGAACAGATAAATTAAGGCTAAAAAGAAAACAGAAATGGCTACATTTTAAACTGCCTTTCCACCTTCAGTATTTAATTAGATCAATTGTATAGAGGAATGAACAGAGGGGACATTCCTCATTGGGATTCCTTCCAGGACTCTTATAGACTTTGCATTCAGAATGTTCCCATTTTCATTGTGTTGTACTGATGATAATTTAAGTATTAGGGGAAAATCCATTTATAAATTAAACAAAATGACTTGATATCCATCAGTCCCCTAGTTCATCAAGCTGTTCAAACACGGGGAAGATTGGCTGGTCGGCCTGGGTCTTCCGAGAGCGCTGGTAATTAGATCTGCGAAGGATTTATTCTTTGCTGATTGGGGCTTTAAATTAATTGAAGTTCCACATTTGTGGTTTTGTCCTTTTTGTACTTTTTTAGAGGAGATATTTCATATTCTTGTGTGGTGGAGTGCTTGGCCAAGCAGCAGTGGTTTAAATGTTAATTTTTCTCATGAGAAGTTTAAGATTTTTAATGAGTCAAGGCCTGATTTGAAGTGCAAAGTTTTATTTGCTTACTTGGGAAATTATTTTTGCCCTCTTCAAAGATGCTTGTACTTTACTTGTTCTGTTGTTTTAAAACAGATTCGCAACACAAAAGTATTTTATTAGAAAGAAAAAATACTGTGTTAAGGTTAATATTAAAAGAACTCTACATACTTCAAGACAATAATTTGGAGTGCCTAGAAATAATCACAGTATGTTTGCTCACACAGAAGGAAAAAAACATATTTTCCTCTTTTGGAAATATTTTAACTTCACAGAGTAGCAATTTATGTTTCCTCATGGAAGTAACTGCAGTTCCTCGGGTATTCATTATTCTGTTGAATTGGCAAGCATCCTTCAGTTAGCCCCATGCACGAGAAAAAAACATATTTAAGTCTATTCTTTTCCCTTTAAAAATGAAGATCATTTTGTTCAAGGGGAAGCTGTATATTTTTATACCATAGCTCCCTGACTTTGCTGAATAGATATATCAGTGAGATCCCTGAAACTGTTTTTAGTGATTAGAACAGAACATCTTTGAAAAGTAGCACATGAAAATATTTTCTACTCTTTCATTCTGGAGCTGGACTGAGGCCCCTTCGTTCCTCATGACTCAAACATGCTCTGTGAAACAATTTAAGTTTAAAAGGCTTTGTATGAAGGAAAGTCTTAGAGAATTGGCCTTTCTGTTCTTGAACCACAAACAGATTAGAAGGATCTTCTTGAACTTTTAATCTAAATTCCAACATCGGCAGCCATTCCTGTAGCACAACCAACAGGTACTCTTTCTCATCTCTGCCAGAATCCGCCCCTGATAGGGAGTTCATCAATTTACAAGGCGGCCCAACTCATTGCTGAGCAGTTCTAATGGACAGTTTTTCTTGATTTGGATCCAAACCTACTTTGCTACAGCTTCACACCCTCTTAGACCATGCTTCAGATTTGTTCCATCCTTCCTATCCTGGCTTTTCAAATATGTGAAGTAATAAGCATCACATCCTGCCTCCCTTCCACTTTCCAGGTCAGACTGTTAAGGAAATCCCACCACCACCACTATTCAATGGTGTGTTCCTAAGAGTCCCACCATCCTAGTCATCCAACCCTGGCTGCTCTTCAGTTTGTTGGTGACTCTCTAAATATATGAATCTATGAACTGAACACTAGATGTCAACACTGAACCTCTAGACATGTTGTGGTTGATAGAAAGCAGAAGGATTGTCATTATTGTCAGTATAGGCTGCTGTGCTTCTATAAGTACAGTTTAAGGTTGCATTAGGTACTTCTGGAAGCCAAATAATCCTGATGATTCAGATGGAACTTGTCTCCCCAAACATAGGTTGAGGGCAACTTGTCATGTGACAATCAGAGACTTTGGGAGAAAAAAAATCCATAGCCTATAAACCAGTTCTTCTAGGGTATCCTAGGCTAGAATCAAAATAAAACAGCACACCCAAATAAATATATTAATATAAGAACTCTGACAAATCCCATGCCTTTCATGAAAAGCATACATGCACACCTCTAGGTACACTGTCAGAACTCAGTTCTAACCTGTTATTTATTCTGGATAACAGAGTACACTTGACTGGTACATCTTTCCTTTACTCTATCATTTAATGTTAAAGTGTGATTACAAGGTACTACAAGTTTCTATGTGTTTTCTTGCCTACTGCTCCTGCTTTTCTTTAGACATCCTAACTAGGGAAATTGAAAACTCTGCTTTCTACCTCCCTTAACAACTCGGGCTTATTAGTTACACTTGCATAGGAAAGCTCTCTCTTCCTTGATAGCCATTGAGGTGCTCGCCATTAGAGAAAGCCAAGCTATCAGAGCCTTCAAAGTCTGTAGTACTGGTCCTTTTCAATCTCTGGTATAAGAAAGCAATTAGATTGACTTCTCAAATACTAGAAAGCAGCATAGGGTGCTACCTTGAAGGAAATATCTGCGCTAATGCAGATGATTGCTCCAAGGGAATTACTTTAAAAGTTCATGTCAGGCAGTATATCCCAAAGCTGCTTATGTTTCTTAAAAGCTGAAAGAATTTTAACAAGATTTCCTAATTCTTAATAACATGAAGGAACATTTTGAAGACTGTTGTTCAATGCATCATAATCTTTTAAACTCTGGTAAGGCACAGATTCCTTTTTTAGGTACTGGTGTGATCTGGCTGGAAAGGGGATATCGTTATATGGTTATTATGAAAATGAAAGGACTAGTAGGTATAGAATTTAGAAGCCCTGATGTGTTCAGTGTAGCATTACTAAATGACTGAAATCTAAATAACATTTGGCATTATAATAAAAGGAAATAAGTGACTAAACCAGACAAGAGGCAGCGATACTGTACGATAATAGGAATTCTATTTCTTTGAGCTGCCAGCCAGCTCTGTGATTGTCTTGCCTTGAGTCTCAAGATGGCATGGGGGAGGAGAGGTTGTTGAAATGGCAGCAAACCCAAATAAATATTTTGTATATATGTACACTTAACAATAGTTGAGTAAATATAGTATTTCTTTTAGATAAATCTTAATTATTAGAAATTAAAGGAGAGGCTTTGTTTATAAATTTCTGAAGTTCTGGAGGGCCTGTGTAGGGTGGATGTAACATTTTGGAAGCGTCTTCTCTTCGCTGTCCTGCAGGCAGCCATTTCTCTCTTCCTGCAGGCTCTAGCAACATGAGGAGCACAGCCACTATGATTGGGCCATTTGGGTGGTTCATTTTATTTCTGTAGATCTGCTTGTATATTTTCATTATTCTTAATGATTCTGCAATCTTGGGATTATGAGTGCTATCCTTATTTGTTCATAACTCTCAATGCTGTGTCTTTTAAATGCTTAGTGAACAGAAAAGCTGCTCTCTCAAGAAATCCTGGAGGAACTCTAAAAAAATCTCCCTATTTTGAAGGCAAAGAGTAATTTTCCTTAAGTTGTCATAAAATTGGTGTTTTTATTCCATCTTAATAAAACAGCCTTTTTTCTAATTACAAAATGAATTTATACTCATTGTGATGAATTGGAAAAAAGATCAACCAATGTCCCACTACCCAGAAATAATGATTATTCCTACATATGCACTACATAGCCATTCCAATTACAAATGTAGTGGGACTTTTTTGTTACATTTTACTAAGTAATATCATAATATACATACTTCCATATTTTTCATTTAACCTCAAAGGCATCTTTGCTTGCTGTGCTTCTCTCTTCAAGATGAAATTTCCTGTCTGTCTCCAGTGGTTTGTTTCCCACTAGCTCACAATCGGCAACTATTGTCAGTCCACCATCAGAAGTGGCATGCCCGGGTCCCCCTTTTGAGGGAATTCAGCCAGGACAATGAGTTCTTACAGCTTGTGGAATGGGTATGAGCTCAGAGAGGAGAAATCAATATTGCACCAGAATTTAGACAGTTTAGCAAAGGCATGAGACAGCACCTTGTGTGAAGAATGACCGGTGGCATGGTTAACCCACTGATAAAATGTAGGTTATCATGTTTGGTCTAAAATTTCACGCAGAATCTAACCTGTCTTGCAGGATTAAGAAAATCCTTATGGTAGCATAAACCTTATGCTAGGATGCCTGTTCCATGTTCTGAATACTTTAAAGACAAGAAAATTTTAAATGGAAATAATCTGTATTTTCTACTTATACCTCTGCCATGGAGAATTTGATCAGCTTGTGACTCTATAGGAACAAGAACATAATCCTTTAACTACATTACATAATTTGCACAATAAGTGATCTAGTAAGAGGAGAGAATGGCTAGGAATAACAATAAAGAATGTAAAAATTTATCTGGAGGATCAGATCAATATTTTATTTAAAAGCTGTATGAGATACATTTTTACTCATATGGGTGAATTGTGTACCATCTGGTATACAGCTAAGAGATGATGCTTTTTTCTATTGGTTCAAGTTTCCTATCAATGAACTGAATTTAGAAGTTAGGCAAGGGAAACCATCTTACTAACCTCACATCTAGCCCTGGTCCCCAGACAA